TCCCAAAAGGGGTAACATTCATGTTCCTCAAGCCCCAAAAAGTGTGTTACTTGTGCAAGCCCCGAAAGTATGCAACGCAAGCCACACACAGGAAACTGCACTAGGAGGCGTTTTGCACACAACTGTACTGGTTGGCCGGCCATTTTGTTATTATTTTTAGCAGACGACAGCAAGCAAAATCAAACTAAAAAATGGGATTTTATGTATACGTATTATAAAATATGTATAGAGATTTATATAATAAAAAAACACTTTTACATAAACGCACATTCCCTCGCAAATGCGTTGGTTTGTATGTCTAGACAAATGCGTATGTAGAAGTTTTGTAGTATCCTAAGGCCTATACTATTTGGCTGTGTGTGTGTGAGTGCGTTTTTCTGCATCGTGCATTCGTGTTTGTCTCTGTGTGTGCGGGTGTGTGTGTGTCTGTGCTTGCATCACCTAACTTCAGTGCAACAAACTCTGCTCTACACAAAAACGCCGCCCAACAAAATGCAATCAAATGGCAAAAATTTTGCCAGACTGCAGGCAGGCAGCAACAACAAATGTTGTTGCAACCACTGCAACTGCAATCGCCCGTCTGCCACATCGGCAAGTGGGTGGCCAAGGGGGTGGTGGGTGGCAGAGGCGGTAGCTGTGGGAGGGGCTGGTGCGACAGGCCAGACACTGGCCATAAAACAGCAAAAACAAACTGCATGTGAAACATTTTAGTTGCATTTTCTATATGGAATATGCGGACTAGAGTGAACCTGAATTTTAAAGTCGATATTTTAAACTTCGTTTTTCTTTAATTTAAATACGAGTTGGCTTTATTTAAGCAAAAATCACAGAAATAGGCTGTATGGAAATTTATTACTCATACGTAGTGTTGACAGCTCAAGGAAATGCATTCAGAATACTTTTTAAATTATTGCATGCATGTCGTATACGTGATTTTTGTAAAACAATCACAGGGAAGTTTTAATATCAATTAAATGAGTCGATATACTTTCTAATTTGTCACCCTAAAGGTCCACCCTATTTACACATAAATGAAAACGCCTGGGACGCACGTGTGTGGGTGCATAATCCATGTGCATATATAAATGTACAAAATCAACCCTTAGCTTTTGACTAGCCGCTCAAAAAAACAGCATCTGTATGCGTACGTATGTGCATAAAATAAATTTCATTTAAATTAAAATAAATAAAACTCGTCCCCAAACCGACGCGTCGGCCCAAAAACAAGAACTTAGACAAAGCGCAGACACATCCATAAAATAACCACCCTCACCCTAAATTGCCTGCAATTCCCTGAAACCGACTGCAGATGAAACTGTCTGGACATCGAAGAAAAAGCTTTCATTAGGCCGACTGCAGTCTATGCATTTTAATTGATTGCCAGCCATCTTTGTCGGCTTTATTTTTGGCCAAATGCCATTAATCTCCGGCAATATTCGGACATTGCGCCTAATGTCATTAGGTGCGGTATCTTTCTGCACGAACAAGATGCTGAATTGAGTTTCTCAAAGGAATCAAAAAACTGATTAGGAAATCATTTACTCGGTCTGCAGTTCTTAGATGGGCATCGCTCTTTTAATTAAATAGTGTTGCACAATGCTCAAGTCCATTCTCAATCTCTGATAAAATCTAGATACTATAACTATGCTTACATCAATACATTTTATAGAAAATGAAATAAATGTAAAAGTACTAGTACTAGTAAAATCATTTTAATAAATTTTTCATAATTTTAAACAACTTCCGAATACTTAAAATCCTACCAGAAGCATATTTTCTTATTTTGCTTTAGCTAACCCTTAATTTCTCTCAAATAAAATGGTTTGCGACTATGAATATTTAAGGTTTCTATAAATTATAATGTTTTAAAAATATGTTCCGTTTATAAAGTACTTGTTTTCTTATGTACAACTTTAGTTAACTCTGAAAAAGCATTTATTTAATATTTTTGCGATACATAAAACCCTTGTGCGCCATGAATTAAAAAGTCAGAACAGCATCTGCATCGCCACAGTCCGCATTTCGCCGCAAGATGGGGGGCTCCAGTGGATTGGGCACTGGGTACACCACCACAACCCACGAGAAACAGGCCACGAAGACGGAGGCAGACATTAACCAAACAAGCGGTGGCGGTGGCCAAAAGGGAACACGTCCACGTCCTCGACCTAGTTCAATGGCAATGTCATTGTGCCACATTATCGCCGGCGACGTCGTCCTCTGCTGGCTTGGCCTTGGCTGGAGTTGAGTTGTGAAGCTGCAGGGAAACGAGAACGAGCGCATGAGTCGAGGCCACGGCCACGGCCACGAACATGGCCAAAGTGGCACACGGCAGGCAGCACACCAAACCATTGAAATCCCAACCACCCAAGCACCCGACCAACCAAACAACCATCCAGCCACCCACCCATTCACATTCCCTTTAGCATTCACCCATCCATCCTGCGAAAACGAGACACAACAGCAATAGCGATGCTGCAACGATGCAGGCACAGGAACCAAAACGGGCTTTTAGCAGGAGGAACAGGAAGCAGGAACAGCAGGACACTGAGAAAAATATTCACTGTAAAAAGAACACGGGCAAAATTCAAAGCACAGCTAAAACTTTACATGCAAAATTTGTATATTCCAAAATTACATTACATTACATACAAAATTACAATTACAATAACCCAATCATTAAACTTATAGAAAATTAAAAAAAAGAATGAAAACCTTTTTACAATTTATATATTTTAACAAACTTAATAAACACATTTTTAATACCCTACATAAAATCAAAAAGCTCTCTTTTAAAATTTTTTATATGAAAGAAAGAAAACCTATTTTCGATTTATATATTTTAACAAACTTAACAAACACATTTTAAATACTCCACAAAAAATAATGAAAACTCTCCATTAAAGAAAGAAAACCTATTTTCGATTTATATATTTTAACAAACTTAACAAACACATTTTAAATACCCCACATGAAATCATAAAAACTCTCTCGTTTTTTTAGATAAGAAGCAATATATTCGAATAAATCTTCCTTGTGTATTTCAAGCTAATTTCGTATTATTTACAAAATCCTTTACTTTGGCTAAATACAACTTATGGTATTTAAGAAATATAACCTAAAAATTCTATGCTTAAAACTTCAATTCCGATTTTACGTGAGTTCGGTCAGACCACTTTTTTTTGAGTGCAAGAGCAGGCGGTGGCGACAATATCCTTGCACTTGTGCAGGCCGCGAGGCGAACGGCGGGAGTGGGCGTGGGTGGTGGTGGGTGGTGGGTGTTGGGTGTTGGGGCACAGGACTCACAGCCACACCGCTAAGCCCGGCAACCAATCCGCCGCCAGCAGAGCAGCCTTGCCGCATCTCAGCCCCGTTTATTGTTGCAGTTGCAAGGACCTTCCTGTAGGCATGACTCTCACCTCTCCGTTGGCTTTCAAAAGGGGGTCCTGTGTCCTGGGTGTTTGTCCTGCACTCCGAGCTCCAAGTTGCAGTGCCACACCAGACACACCCACCCACCGAACCACTCATTCTCATCCGATTTGTGCTGAACTCGAACTCCCAACCCCCGATTTTCGATGTGCTCTCTATCTATATGTATCTCGCACTCGCTCTGTCTCCCTTTTTCGTTAGTCTATTCCTGTGGGTTCGTTTCACAGCTTCATGTTAATAACAGGGGAGACTTGTGTAAAATTTGTGGAGACCCAGAGAGCAATGCAAAATAAAGGAGAGTTGCGACTGATTTTAAGGCAATTATAAAGTGCGTAAAAATGCATTTTAATAATTTAAAAATAGCACATTTAAGCTATTTCGGTTTAAAAATCTTATTTTAGGTCAAAATAACAGGCCTATTTTATTTTGCAGTCTGTTAAGCATTGGACATTCGTCATAGTAGGCCTAACATTTTTTCTTAATATTTAAACAACTGCTTTGTGGTAGGCATAGTTCTTTGCAAATTACTGTTTGCTTAGCCTTGTTAGATAGGCTTTTTAGGCTTTATTGCGCGTAAGGTTCTCACGCTAAAGCGGATAAACCCAGTTTAGAAAGGCATTTTCTTTTCTTGAGCCTATCCGAATGGTATAAATACTGAGAGGCTCAAACCAGAAAAGCATCAGTTGATCGTATCCAACTACCAAGCATTAACATGAAGTACGCCTGCTCCCTGCTCCTTTTGGCCATTGTGGGCTGCTTCCTGGTGAGCCTGTCCAGTGCGGCCAGTTCCACAACCTCGACGGAAGCTTCCACCACCACTACCACCACCACGGCAGCTTCGTCGGACACAACCACCACCACTGAGTCATCCTCTGACACCACGACCACGACCACCGCTTCCTCGTCCTCATCCTCCGGCAAGAAGAAGCACGTGACCCACTACAAGCGCAAGACCCACCGCCCAAAGAAGGTCAAGAAGATTCATCGCAACAAGAAGCGCAGCGGTTAAACAGACCTAAAATCCATCCGATCCGATACCATTTGATTTGAACACTGACTCTGCTGACTTCTCTCATAAATACTTTACCTATTATCCTTACTACGCAAATACAAAATATTTGAATACCCATCTAATTATGAATACAATTTTTATTTAACATTATTTAAGGTTTAAAAGCATGGTCAATGACGTCAACGCTTAAAATGTTTAAGTAAAGCTAGCTCAGTGAACGGAAAATTTTAAAGTATGATATAAAACATGGCTTAAATATACTTAAACCATGATTAATAATAATAACATGTTTTCTATTATTATGACACATACCTTAAACATATTTATTGTAATTAAAAAGTTGTTTTATAAATAACTGACATCGTCAAAGCACCTGCAATATTTGAACAACTGCTCTGTTGTGGTAATATTTCTTCGCAAAATATTTTGCGCTTGGCCTGGTTTATAAGAATGGCTCGCAGGTTCGGTTCAAACAGTAAAAACACAATCCATGAGGTATAAATAGTGCAAGACTTGGACCAGAACAGCATCAGTTGATCGTATTCAACTACCAAGCATCAACATGAAGTACGCCTGCTCCCTGCTCCTTCTGGCCATTGTGGGTTGCTTCCTGGTGAGCCTGTCCAGTGCGGCCAGTTCCACAACCACGACGGAGGCGGCCACCACCACTACCACCACCACAGCTTCGTCGGACACCACCACCACTACCGAATCCTCGGACACCACAACTACAACCACAGCCTCTTCCTCCTCCTCGTCGTCGTCCTCCGGCGCCAAGAAGAAAGTTATCCACTACAAGCGCAAGATTCACCGACCCAAGAAGGTCAGGAAAATCAAACGCAACAGGACTAGGAGGCACCGCAGCGGTTAAACGCTTTTAAAACTCCACTGATCCTGCCACAGCCGCTTTGAATCTCTGTCAGACTCTAACGATCCTACTTCTTATTATTTTATTTAATATTAATAATTTTGGTTAATATATATTCATTATTGCAAGCATCAATTAGCGTTAGAATTAAATTTTTCAAAAGTAATAAAATATTTTGGTTTTTTTTAAAAGTAATGTAAAGGTTTACATTTGGCATTACTTTTTCAAAATATAATCAACTGAATTTTTTATTAGCATTAATTTTTCAAAAATATTTAATTATTTTGCATCAATTTTTTAATGATAATGAAAAAGTAATGATAATGCTTATAGACACAACACTGTGTCAAATAAACGGAATTTTCAAGTACAGCGCTAATATATGCGCTCCATAGCACCACAGCTTTTAAATGTCACTTTTTTTATTATTTTAAAGAATTAAAACAATAAAAATACATAAGAAACAAAGTCAATCCGAAAGAGATATGGAGATAAATAGAGACCATTATTGAATTTGTCGTTTTATGGCTAACTTAATAAATTGCTTTTTGGATTAAATCCTGATAGACGTGTTTACTTATTAACAGGGAACGAAAATAACTGTTATTGTAAATTTTTCATACAAAAAAATCACGCACTTAGAGGGGTCCTAAAAATTTTTTAAATACACCACAATTTTTATTAGCCATTGTAGTTTACAAATCCGTAATGATTTTTATTTTTTGATTTTTATAATAAAACTCAAAAAATAACTGTTATTTTTTGATTTTTATGAATAACAGTTATTCCCTTGACATTTTTGAAAAAATGAAATAATTAAAAAAAACATAATACCCGTGCTTTTTATAACTTACTAAAAATTTGTTAAAAAAGGCAACCGCGCATATTTTATACCTATATTTTTTTAAAATTTTGTTTACCCACAAAATCGCCATAAATCAAGTTTGAGTTTTATTTTGATCACGACGAATAACTGTTATTTGTCAACTTTTATTATAAAACTCAAAAAATAACAGTTATTCTTTGAGTTTTACTTTACAAATCAGAAAATAACTGTTAAAGTGTGATTTTTAAAATAAAACTTTTAACAGTTACGTTCCCTGCTTATTAATCGAATAGTATGCATACGAAAAAAAAGTTTTGGGCAAATAAAAAATCTATAATAGTGGGCATGTCAGGAAATTCTTGGCAAATAGTTTTAAGCTGAATTAATGAAAATTAAATGTTCTAAAGGTATGTAATTTGTTGAGAACTACGTAACAGCTTAAAGGTAGAACTTTTCGGAGCCTCCCGCGTTTTAATAGTTGAATTATTTTACTAAAAACTACTTTTATCTGGAATATGTTTAAACAAATCGTTCAAGTGCAGATAGTTATTTATGAAGTTTATATTAGATATATATCATGGTCAATGACGTCAGTATCAGTACATAAATATGCCTTCATGACGCACTCTTCCGCAAAATATCGCTTTTGGCATTGAGGCATATTTGTTTAAAAATTGGCCAACATTTTCAACAGATGGTTTTCGTTTTGCACTTGGTTAACAAAGTAACGGGTTTATTGACTTAAACTTTCTGATTAAGACCGTGTTAAACCCTTGAACCTTTTTAAAATTATTAACAACTTAAATTAATAGTCTTACTATGGTCAGTAACGTCACTGCCAGTAGACAAATTTGATTTGCATATTTCTTTTGAAATGGGGACCGGGTTTTCGATAAAAAAAAGTAGAGAACTTTGGAGTTCCTTTAGGTTTTATTACTAGAAATATTTTCTTTTTTAAATAATTGCCTGAACATAAAGTCGCGCCTTTGATTTTCTTGAAATATAGACTGACCCTTGGCTAGCAAAACTCCTTATTTTTAAAGGAATATAAAAGTGTAATTAAATTGTGTTCGTATACAAACAACGGTTACTCGAAAACAGCGCCAAAGAACCTTTAATATTTAAACAACTGCTTTGTGGTATATACAAAAGAGTCTTGCAAAATTTTGTTTATTTGACCTGGTTTTATTGCGAATCTGTAATATTTGGATCAAATGCCATTTGCGAAATGTTTTTCGCAAGCCCTACCGAGAAGTATAAATAGTTTTGGGTTCCAGCCAGAACAGCATCAGTTGATCGTATCCAACTACCAAGCATCAACATGAAGTACGCCTGTTCCCTGCTCCTTTTGGCCATTGTGGGCTGCTTCCTGGTGAGCCTGTCCAGTGCGGCCAGTTCCACAACCACGACGGAGGCGGCCACCACCACTACCACCACCACAGCTTCGTCGGACACCACCACCACTACCGAATCCTCGGACACCACAACTACAACCACAGCCTCTTCCTCCTCCTCGTCGTCGTCCTCCGGCGCAAAGAAGCAAGTTATCCGCTACAAGCGGAAGGTTCACCGACCCAAGAAGGTCAGGAAAATCAAACGCAACAAGACTAGGACTAGGCACCGCCGCAGTTAAACCTTTTAAAACCAACTGATCCTGCCACAGCCGCTTTGAATCTCTACCAAACTCTCATGATCCTACTGCTTGTTATTTTATTTTCTATTTATAATTTTGGTTAATATATATTTATTATTGCAAGAATCAAATCGTTTTCTTTTTCTTTGCTATTAAAATAGCCATTTTGATAAAAGTAGTATATTTTATAAAAGGCGATGGTGCGTATGTGGTAAGCTCAGGCCCTTAAATGCAAACATTTTTTGAATATGCCTGAAACGCACAAAAAATGTCTATCCAAATGTGGACTGTCCCAATAAAAATATCTATCTTTGACAGGGCAAAGAAGTTCGGTTAACTAACTATAACTAATAAAGCATAACAAGAGAGGAGTTCAGAAGGTTAGAGTTGGTAACAAATGGAATTGGATTGATGGGTTGGGGTTTTTTAACCGCTGCGCTTCTTGTTGCGATGAATCTTCTTGACCTTCTTGGGGCGGTGGGTCTTTCGCTTGTAGTGGATCACATGCTTCTTCTTGCCGGAGGAGGAGGACGAGGAAGTGGTTGTTGTGGTGTCCGAGGATGACTCAGTGGTGGTGGTGGTTGAGTCCGAGGCTGCCGTGGTGGTGGTAGTGGTGGTGGAAGCTTCCGTCGAGGTTGTGGAACTTGCCGCACTGGACAGGCTCACCAGGAAGCAGCCCACAATGGCCAAAAGGAGTAGTGAACAGGCGTACTTCATGTTGATGCTTGGTAGTTGAATATGATCAACTGATGCTTTTCTGGTTCGAGCCTCTCACTATTTATACCATTCGGATAGGCTCAAAGAAAGCAAATGCCTTACGCACAATACAATCTTATCCACATCTTTGGGCCTTAATAACAAGGCTAAGCAAACAGTAATTTGCAAAGAACTATGCCTACCACGATGCAGTTGTTCAAATATTAAAAAATCTGTGGGGGAACACAGTTAGGCCCATTAGACGAATGTATTTTATAATGCTAAAGTTACTGCAAAATAAAATAGGCTTATTATTTTGACCTAAAATACGACATACGGAAAACCGAAATAGGTAATATAGCTATTTTTAATTCATTACCTTTAAAAAAAAGTGCGTGAATATATATAACAAACTGAAACTCAAAAGTTCTCAAAATATCTTTAAAGTTTGTACAAGTGATTTGTGGTAGGCATAGTGTATTGCTAATATTTATTTGAGTAGCCTAGTTATCCAGATAGGCTCGAAGATGTGGATCAGATGGTGAAATGCGTAAGGTTCTCACGCCTATGCGGATAAACCCAGATCTGTCAGATGTTTGATTTTCCAGCTCACCAACTAGGTATAAATAGTGTGGGGTTCCAGCCAGAATAGTATCAGTTGATCATATCCCAATATCAGATATCAACATGAAGTACGCCTGCTACCTGCTCCTTTTGGCCATTGTGGGCTGCTTCCTGGTGAGCCTGTCCAGTGCTGCCAGTTCCACAACCTCGACGGAAGCTTCCACCACCACTACCACCACCACGGCAGCTTCGTCGGACACAACCACCACCACTGAGTCATCCTCCGACACCACAACCACGACCACTGCATCCTCGTCCTCATCCTCCGGCAAGAAGAAGCACGTGACCCATTACAAGCGCAAGACCCACCGCCCCAAGAAGGTCAAGAAGATTCATCGCAACAAGAAGCGCAGCGGTTAAACAGTTCTAAAATTCATCCGATCCGATTCCATTTGTTATCAGCTCTGACACCATGAACTCCTCTCGTAATACGGTTTATTAGTTATAGTTATTTTAATTGTTATTGCGAATAAATACATTTTATTTAAAAACAAGAGAGAACGCTATAGTCGGGTTGGTGTCCCGACTATCTAATACCCGTCACTCAGCTAAAGGGAGCGCAAGGGAGATGGATATATAACATTTTTTGATTGCGCATAACTTTTCAATGAATGGTCCGATTTGATCTCAGCGTTCATACGGACGGACAGACGGACATGGCTATATCGACTCGGCTGGTGACCCTGATCAAGAATATATATACTTTATAGGGTCTGAAACGCTTTCTTCTCCCTGTTACATACTTTTTGCTCGAATACAATATACCTCTACGAGTAACGGGTATAAGAAGAAAGGAAGCTAGCTTCGGCCAGCTATAATTTTTTATCGAATTTTTTTTTGATCCGGCTGGTTTCGACTTGTATACTACCTCCAATAGAAAGAAGACTTTTGGTAAAGTTTCATCCCGATAGTTAGATCGGCTCGTCTAGTGTTGCTGATCAAGAATAGATATACTAGAAATGAGTCCTTCTCTGCGTTACAAACTTCTAACTAAATTAATAATACCCTCTGCACAAACCACATTTGGAAAAAAAAATCAAGAGAGGACGCTATAGTCGAGTGCTTCGACTATCGGATATCCGTCACTCAGCGAGAGGGAGGGCGACGGAGATGCAAGCATATATTGCTGCCCTTCTATTTTATTTAAGCAATTTTTGTTTATGCTTAGTAAATGAATAAGTATGTTTTATATACTATTAGTTTATGTACAAAATGACCTTGGTTAAATACTTTTTATTTTCGAATTTTAATACTACTGTTTAGAATAATTTACTCCTTTGGATCCCGCCCAATCCAAAATATATTGATGAGTTTCTCAAGGCTTTTTTTTAATAAAATTTATTTATTACAGAGAAGCAGGTAGTTCCCACAGCTGCGAAATAACAAGGAAAATAACTATAACTATAACTAATAAACCGTAATACGAGAGGAGTTCATGGGGTTAGAGCTGATAACAAATGGAATCGGATCGGATGAATTTTAGAACTGTTTAACCGCTGCGCTTCTTGTTGCGATGAATCTTCTTGACCTTCTTGGGGCGGTGGGTCTTGCGCTTGTAATGGGTCACGTGCTTCTTCTTGCCGGAGGATGAGGACGAGGATGCAGTGGTCGTGGTTGTGGTGTCGGAGGATGACTCAGTGGTGGTGGTTGTGTCCGACGAAGCTGCCGTGGTGGTGGTAGTGGTGGTGGAAGCTTCCGTCGAGGTTGTGGAACTTGCCGCACTGGACAGGCTCACCAGGAAGCAGCCCGAAATGGCCAAAAGGAGCAGGTAGCAGGCGTACTTCATGTTGATATCTGATATTGGGATATGATCAACTGATACTATTCTGGCTGAAACCCCACACTATTTATACCTAGTTGGAGAGCTGGAAAATCAAACATCTGACAGATCTGGGTTTATCCGCATAGGCGTGAGAACCTTACGCATTATACCATCTGATCCACTTCTTCGAGCCTATCTGGAAAACCAGGCTACTCAAATAAATATTAGCAAAACACTATGCCTACTAGAAATCACTTGTACAAACTTCAAAGATATTTTGAGAACTTCAATTTAGCTGGAATCATGTTGACGCTGCTTCTGAGTTTCAGCTGTTTATATTTATACACGCACTTTCTAATTATATTATATCACTGGCAGCTCGACAAATGCGGAACAGTAAAAATAAACACAATACACTCACAAAAGTGTGACTGGGTATTAAGATCAGAATTAAATGTGTATTAACATTTGTTTTGTTTATTATAGTTAAATAATTATAGTTTAAATAAAATAAATAAATACTGTTACAATCAAAACTTAATTTAAAAATAATTCATTAGGTAAACATACAAAAATGTTTGTATACAATGTGGGAAGAAAAAAAGAAACCAAACTTTTGTGAATCGGGCTATTACTATATGTAGAACCAGTTTAAAACTGTTTACCTAACCCAAAGAATTTAGACAACAATACGGCAACTGATGTCATAAGTCCGCTGCAATGCAATAAAGTTCAAAATTCGACAACTTCGAGACCGCCTGAAATGATGCAGAGAATAAGGCCAATGGGTCATGGGAGAACTCACTTCTTTGGACCACCGTCTATAGAATAGGTCATAAACCAAGAGAACAGGTTCCCACCATTCCACCTGTGACGCGTGCTATATATGTACGTTCCCCACACAATCGTATGTACGGACCCAGCTACTTAGCCGCTAAATACCAAACAACATCTTTTTACATCGCCAATAAATGGTGTTTAATTGTGCTCTTGTTGTTGTTTCTCGTTTTTGCAGACTCCGTTTGGCGACATTCTAGGTAGAGAGAAGAAAGAAGGAGTAGAGAACGGGAGAGATCTTTTTGCATGCGCATCTAGTGTTGCAGGTTCAGATTTTAATCCGTTAAAAAAAAAGATACATTGTATTGTAATGTTTACAAAAATTAATGTACGAGTAAGACTAACAATTGGCCCGTAAGATATAGACATTTCTTAATTCAATATGAATTTAGATTGATTTATAATAAATTATTCTTTTATTTATTGAAATTCATATATTTTTATCGTAATGGGCTACAATATTTTAACCCAGCTTTTTTTCTCAATCAAGGCATCACTGAGCATTGCTGACAAAACGGGAAATGGGTTAAGAATGAAGCAGAGGAAGGAGAAAGAGACAGGGCCCCAGCAGCCGAACCGCATTCCATGCGCAGACAGCGCAGTCGCACAGTGTCTCGTGTTTAAGATACATACTTTGCAAGAATCAAAGATTGAGTTTTTCATTTTTCTTGGAATTTGTACATATTTTATTATATTTTGCCATTTATGTTTAATTTACCCAACTTTTTGTGGACACTTAAAAATTATAATTTTTTCAGGAACCAACGTTTAAGAAGGATATAAAAATTACCAAAACCAAACCTAAATGAAGTTTTTAAATTTAAAGGTACTGAATAGAGATTTTTAAAAAGTACTTTTGTATTTTTAATAGAGTTTGAAATAAACAACTATCATTTTCGCAGCGTGCTTAGCACAATCGACCCACTGTGCGCCGAGGGCAGCGGCTGCGGCTGCGCAGAAGAAAGAGAGCCATCGCGGATCCGTTTCCAGTCGTAGTCGTCCATTCAGATTCAGTCAGTGCGTCGCGAGATCTTTGCCGTGCAGGTTGCGGTTTTGGCCAAGGAATACAAATACGTTTATTCGATCGGGCGAACGGTTATTTCACTTCCGTGAGTGTGTGTTGGTGGGAATATTTCGGTAACGAAACTTTCTTCAACAGCTGGCCATCGTTTGTATGTAAATGCAAATCACCTAAGAAGGCGGCCGGAGGAAGAGACAGCGAGACAAGTGGAGTGTAGAAAGTGCAAAACAGGTTTTTTTTGTTAGCAGGGAAACGTGGCAAGCAAAAAAAAATCAAAGTGATTGCTCGATTATCGCTGTATTATCTCATGTTTGACGAATGCTAATTGATCAGTGAAAGTGGGCTCGAAAAAACAATGCGAGGAAGAAATGCCCGCTGAAAGCGATGAGCAAATCGCACGCTGAAATAAAAACACAAACAAAAACGAGGAAACCGCTATGTCTGCCACCTACACCAATACAATTACACAGCGCCGCAAGACGGCCAAAGTGAACAAGCAACAACAGCAGCAACAACAACAACAACAACAATGGGCGGCCAGCGATTTGGGCGGCGAGTCGTCAAACGAAAGACTTCACTTTCGCAGCCGTTCAACAAACTCGAAAGCAACAACACCGACGGCGGCGGCCAGCAACTCACCTTCACCACTGTGCTGTAACGGTGCTCGTGCTCTAACAATGCTCAATTGCTGCGTCGACGTCAATTGCCATTTGAATGCGCCGCTGCGCGGCAGCGTTAGCCGGCACACGACGCCGACGTCGACGCCCACGCCAACTGCGACGCCGACGCCGGCAGCGACGCCAAAACAAGCCTCCCCCTCGCCCACCTCCGATCGTTCGCGCTCCCTCTCACGTTCGCCCACGCCGTCTCGCTCTCGCTCGCTCTCCTGCCATAAACAACAGCAGAAGCACAAGAGCAGCGCAGCAGCCGCCGCAGTCGCAGCGGAGGAGAGAGAAACCGCTAGTACGAATACGCCGCCATTTACCGTTAGCCTGAGCATCGATCTCTTCAGCTGGACGCTCTTTCTCTTGGCCTTCGGCACGCGTTTCTATAAGTTGGCAACGCCGCCGCATATTGTGTGAGTAGAAAAACAATAACAAATCAGGAAGTGGAAAAAGGGGGTCACCACTGAGGGAAAAACTACCAATATTTAGGGTCTGCAAAGTGGCTACTAGGTTTATCACTTATACTCACTGTTGCCTTCGATCAAAAAGTTATTTTATGTAGGTTACATATGGGCACTTCCAAAAAAAAGTCCACCAAGCCAAAAACCTTAAAACTTGAAAAAAACATATTTCCACATGATTTTGCCCCGATATTAGTTTCTAATTAGTTGGATACTGAGCTTAACTACAAATTTGGAGTATAGTTTGATTATTTTTATGACAAACTCCACCAATTTACGGAAAAATCAGTTTTTGGCTATTTTTTTGTTATTTTTTGGACCTGTCTTCTGTTGTTAATTTATCCTATAGGAATGCTAATATGTGACATTTTTCTGTACTGAATGCTTCATTCACATGCTAAACTATTAAGTTAAAAGCAAAACATCCAGCAATTGAGAGATAGAGGTAAAGAAATTCGCTTTACAAAACCGTCGGAAAAAATGTCCCGAGCGACATGTCCCGAGCGAATGTGGTTGAGACTGCATAAAAAAAAAACGGCAAAGAATTTTTGAGTAAAACCAAAAGCATTTCACAGCGACATGTTTGAACAACATTCTAAAAAAAATCGCAATAAAATATTCCATCAGAATTCGCTAATTTCTGGTGTTGTATGAACTTCCCCGAAATCCACTTCTATTTTTGTCCCGAGCGAATACGGCAGTTTTTTACCGATATCTTAAAAACTAAAAGCGGTACAAAATCAAGATTTTTACCATAAAATAGAGCTTGGAAAGAGTGAAAAGAAAAGCCCATAATTAAAATTAAAATCCATTGTTTTACAATTTTTTTTCAACTTTAAATGTGTGCAAATGTCCCGAGCGACATTTTGGAAGTGCCCATATATTTGATAACTCTTCCTGCTCTAAACAACCTATTTAACCGAAAATCATAACTTAACCAAGTTATAAATGGAAGAAACATTTTTCCGACTACTGTCATACGTGTCGTATAAGTAATTTTTATAAAAAACTTTTAAAAATATTTTAGTTGTTGAATACTTTTTTTAAATCAATAATCTTCTATGTGAAGGGTGGGAATAAGATTACTTTTTGGACTGCCCTAAGCCATTATTGATAATAAAATATATTACAATATTAACATATTCTTTTTACCAGACCCACACAAAAAACTGATTGGTCAAATTAACCAATATAAAATAATAGTAACAAATCTAAAATAAAAAATAAATACTGAATTTGATCAAATTTATCCACATATTTTGTTGTGTGCATTTTCAAATATTTCTTGATCGTCCCACAACCATTTAAAACCAAATGCAGTTCATTATAAATTCTCTAGTAAAATAAAAGGTCATAAAATATGTCTAAGCTAGAAACTTGTTTTAAATGGGCCAACGTGTTCTATAAAACTTAACCACATCATAAGGGACTTTCCAATAAGCTAACAATATTATTTGTATTACCATAACAGAAACCCCAAGAAACTTAATTCTTAGTAACAAAATATAAACAACTTTTAAACCCACAGCTTCGATGAACTCCATTACGGCAAGTACATCTCAATGTACATGCGCAACATCTTCTTCTTCGATCAACATCCTCCGCTGGGAAAACAGCTAATCGCCGGATTGGTCAGCCTGGCCGGCTACGATGGAAACTACACTTTTTCCCGGATTGGTGAGCCCTATGCGCCGGAAATGCCCATCTTCTGGTTCAGGTTTATCCCGGCCTTGTGCGGCAGTCTTTTGGCCCCCGCCGTTTATAAGCTGCTGCTGGAGGCGAAGCTGAGTCGATGGTCCTCGGCTCTGGGCGGTCTGCTCGTCGTCCTGGACAACTCCTTGCTGACGCAATCCAGATTCGTGCTCATGGAATCGATGCTGCTGCTGGCCACCACTCTCGGAATCGCCTGTCTTCTTCGCTTCCAGCGGTGTCGCCTGGGCAGCCTCCAATGGCTGATCAGCGGAGCTGCATCCGCCGTACTTCTGGGCGCTGCCGGAACCGTCAAGTACATTGGATTCCTGGCGCTGGGACTGGCCTTCTATTTGTTATGTCGACACCTCTGGCAGCTACTCTACGACGCCAAACTGACTGGTAGGATATGGATTTTATTAGAAACCATCATTTATATTCCTTATACGACCACAAACAATTTTAAAATGTGTCCAGCGCGCACATTTTTAAAGATTTCGGAGAAGAATAAATGCAATTTTATTGCGTTTATTTATACCTATCGAAATGTAAAAGAAATTTTTCAAATCGGACCATTCGTTAAAATGTTATGCCCGATAAAAGTTTTATATCTCCATCATCCTCGCAATCCCTTTAGCAGAGTTTTGTTTTTCTGGGTTGTTTTTCTATTAAACTAATATATTTGTCTTCTTTTCAGATCGCCAGCTGTGGATGCACGCCCTAAGTCGCCTGCTGATCTTCGTTGGAATTCCTTTGGCCGTCTACGTGGGAGTATTCTACGTTCACTTCAAGGCACTTCACCGGGCTGGACCACATGACAGCATCATGACCAGCGCGTTTCAGGCTTCTCTGGAAGGCGGACTGGCATCGATCACACGGGGACAGCCCTTGAAAGTGGTTCATGGATCGCAGATCACACTGCGCCACACCCACGGACGCACCTGCTGGCTGCACTCGCATCCAGCTGTATATCCAGTGCGTTATCCGGACAAACGAGGCTCCTCCCACCAGCAGCAGGTCACTTGCTACTCCTTCAAGGATGTGAACAACTGGTGGCTGGTCAAGCGACCGACCAAGGAAAACCTGGTGGTGGGAGATCAGCCGGATGTTATTCGGCACGGCGACGTTATCCAGTTGGTCCATGGCATCACCAGCAGAGCTCTCAATTCGCACGACGTGGCCGCCGCAATGACGCCGCAATGTCAGGAGGTCAGCTGCTACATAGACTACGAGATCAAAATGGCCGGTGAGCTGTTGTGGCGTGTGGAGATCCTAAATCGCGATTCCGAGGGCGACAGTTGGCATGCCATCAAGTCCGAGATCCGGCTGATTCACGAGTCCACGGGAGCTGCCCTGAAGTTCAGTGGCCGTCAACTTCCCGACTGGGGCTTCAATCAGCACGAGGTGGTGGCTGATCGCGAGAAGGGAGCACACGAGGACACCATTTGGAATGTCGAGGAACACCGCTATACGCAGAGTAAGTGGTTTGATACTTATTTGAATATTTACAATATTTATAATTTTCCTTTAAACCCTTTTAGCTGAGGACCATCGGGAGAGGGAGCGCCAGCTGCTGACTGCCGAGATGATACCCACGAAGCGAACGCGTATTTCGTTTTGGGCCAAATTACTGGAGCTGCAGTCCAAGATGCTCTTCCAAACGAAATCTCTGCCCAGTCACATGTACAGCTCGATGCCGCACGAATGGCCGCTGATGGACAAGGGCATCGCCTACTGGCTGGATTCGGAGTCGAATGCGCAGATTTATCTGCTGGGAAACGTACTCCTCTGGTACACGGCCACCGCAGGAATCCTGGTCTACGCCGGACTACTCGCCTTCTATGCCGTTCGAAGGCAGCGTCTTTGTTTCGATATCTCCGAGCGGGAGTGGCATCGCTTCCTGATCGCTGGCGATACTTTTTTCGTCGGCTATCTCATGCACTACTTGCCGTACTTCTTTGTGGATCGCACACTCTTCCTGCACAACTACTTGCCAGCCTTTGTCTTCAAACTACTCCTATTGTGCTTTGTCGTGGAGCATTTGGACTATCTGCTAAGGCGCTTCTGCACCGGACGTGGTGTCCACCTGGTGCGTCTGTATCGCCTCATGCTCATTTTCTGGCTGGTGGGCGTGCTGAGCATTTTCTCCAAATTTATACCATTCAGTTATGGAGCGCGAAAGATGAGCCTGAATGAGGTGCGCAGCCTGCGATGGAAGGACACCTGGGACTTTGTGCTTCACAAAAATCACCCTCTGCACTGAAAAACTAACCGAACAGCCATCTTTGAAACAGAGAGACGTGCAATGATGTACTCGTACCATGTAGAATAGACTAGGAGACCTAGCTAAAGTTGAACTAGTGCTAAGCCATAAATTATTTGACATGTAAACATACTCATTTGCAAGACGAATTAAAACTATTATTTATTTATTTTAAAGTAAATGCTCGAGCTTTATAAGTCATGGGTTTTGCTTACAAATTGTGTTTGTAATTTTAAGGTTTATTTTCAGTTAGGAAACACTCAACACATACATCTAAAAAACATGGCCAATAGGGGACTTTTTGTAGACAGAAACTCAAATATTCCAGCTGCAGGTTTAACCACTATTGGATTAGATGACGAGGGAAATGTTAAGCATTGTTTAAGTATCACAAATCCTGAAGAATTAGCCGAGAGTCTGGTGAAAACGAAATGCGGACAGATCAAGCAGGACTATTACACCATGCCAGCGGTGTCAGTAATTCCCAGCAACAGCTTACGGGATTTGTTGACCAGTGAGCTGAAAAAGTCCCGCTTTATGTCCTTCAAGGAGAAGTTCTATGAGGAGATGTACTTCAAGAAACCGCACTTGGGCCAAGTTAGAAAAACTTTCTCCAAACCGGACAGCGTGAGCAACCACAGCCAAACCTTTGGAAGTCCATCGAGCGCAGCTCCCTCGGAATCCCTTTATACAATCGTAATGCCAAAGAAGTCGGCGGAGCAAGTAAATAAGGAGTACGAAGCGTTTCACGACAAGTACATTATCAGCCACAATCACTACTTTCCATCGGAGCAGGTAAATCGAAGGTAAGCTTATTCATTAAATTTTAGGTATAAGATAAAAAATACATAATTCCTTAGATATACCCAACCATTTGATCGAAACTCCCCTTGTGGAGATTTTCAAAGCCTTGGCGACTTTGGACTGAAAGTGAAGCGATGTCTTGAGGAAGGTGAAAATCATCTAAAGGTTATTGGGAAGGCTCAAGTAGACTTTATGAATCGCACCGAAGCTCCCTTGGGAAAGAAATTCAAAAAGTAAGATATTAATAGAACTAATAAAAGTTTTGATACATGATATACTCCTCTAGGTATTCTTGTGCGGTTCCCGATATAACTTTTGGTACCCCTCTGCGCAGCAATGGCGATGTAAAGATGATACTTAATAATATCGAACCGTGCGATAAAAATAACCGACTATTGGACGCCATCGCCTATTTGAACAAGAAGCGACACAATTTAAGAAAGCCACTTGACTTTCATATGCATAGTCTGAGAACCTTACTGGAAAGCAGCGATAACAATAAATCGGGACACTTGTCGCTGGCACGGATCATGGAAATCCTAGCAAAGTTCCACATCCACCTGGATTTTACAAAAATCCGTGTTGCCTTGTCTCATTTTCAGATGATAATCGACGAGGGTTGCGCCACGGAGCGTGTAAATTATGTGGATTTCTTTCGGCTTCTCTCCATTCATGAGCCAATGCCTAAAACAGGAAGTATGTCCAATGTGTCCGGTATCAGTTGCATGGACACCACTTATCGATCACTCTGCGAAGATCGTCAAAAGAAGTGCAATGAAGATCGAATAATCATGAACCAGAAACTCGAAGAGGAAAAAACCTGTGTAAAGGATCTCGTAACCCCGGATCTGTCAACATTACGTGGCCTAAAACCCAGTGATTTCTTCCGATTGCGGCCCAAAGTGGAAATCGAACGTATCTTCCGAAGACTCGTCCCAATGGATAAATTCGAGGCTATTTGGCAGAGACTTATGGTTCAGTTTAGGGATCAGAATGAAATGGCATCAGTCACTCAGTTTCGTACCGAGATGCACAACAAAATAGAAGATCTAATAATGTCTAATGTATAACTACATGTAAATGAAAAAAACAAAGAAATACAATAACAGAGTCATTTATTTAACAATAATTACTGTTGGTCTATTTGATTAATTTTTAGCTTTTAGTTATTGTTATTGTGGTAAAGTAGTTTATTTTGGACAGCTGTTTTTCTCTTGTAATACCATCATATTGGTAAGAATTGGATGCAGAGAACTTCTGTCAGGAAATAATCTACACTTAAACTAATTTATTTGACAAATGTGTACATAAAGCACATAACACGGAAAAGAGCTGAAATGTTAAACCCCTATATAAGAGTATGTTTTCGCTTTGGTAAGGCATAACACGTAACAGTACTGTTTCGATACGGATTTCACCCATTTCCATTCGGATTTATTAGCCAAAAAGCAAGGATCATTAAAGATGAAGTTCCTTTTCGTGGCTGTTCTTATCGCCTTGGCCATTCAGTTGGCCTATTCTGCATCTGGCACAACAACAACTACAACGGCTGCTACGACTACAACAACGACAACCACTGCGGCATCAACCACCACAACAACCGCCTCTTCCACCCACAAGAAGCGCTGTTGGAGGGGCAACAACTGGTGCCACACCCGCATCCCCAAGAAGAAGTGCAAGAACCCGAAGAGGTGCCACAAGACCGTTGTGATTGTGACCCACAAGCGCGGATGAAAATGCAGCGATGCCATTCCTTTGAAAAACTAAAAATAATCAAAATATTTGTTTTTAAATATTTTAAATAAAATAAATTTGTATGCAACATAACCCATTGTTTTCCCCAAAGCTAGTAGAGCTTCCACAACTCGAACTTCCTTAATTCGAGTCCTAATATGATTCACTAAGCATAGAGAGAACTATTATAACCTTATTAACCTTATGATGAGGGATCTTCTTATAAAATTTTAGCCCAATTATGGTTATGCGTAATATGGTTATGTTTGTAAACTTTCGAATGAGTTGGTGATTTGGTGAGCTAAAAAAATGTAGGTCCCATGAAATCATGTATTGTGGCCAAACTTCAAAAACTACTTTTACGATAAGAAACTGCTACCAGATAAAATTATCTGTTACTACAAAACCAACACTGCGGATACGTAATTTTTTTACACATAGAATCAATGCGAATTTTATATTTGTTACAAAGTTTGTAAGGAAACTTATTCCTAGTCACGATCACTAGAAAGTAGTTAGTTTTTTTGTTAGTGCCTAAAGACTTACCATAACTTGTTCACATCGGACAATTAAATTAACTTATTTTGCTTTCCTGAAAGGAGTGCGCATAGACACGTCACATAAAAAGAATTTCCCGTCTTTTTACCATTATGCTCCAGTCCATCATGCTATAAACCAATGGGGAAATACAAAATATATTACAGATTGTTATTCGGATATTTGTTTAACTTTAGGCTTACAGTCGCATTAACGCCAATATATTTTGGTAAAGTCGGCAATTTTTTGAACAGCTGTTTTTCCATGTCAATAAGGCATGTAAGATTTTAAATATTTAAAATTGCGTAGTATTTGTACAAATTGGATGCAAAGAATTACAGTACACAATTATTATTTGGCAAATACAGATATTAACACTTAAAGAGGAAAAGATTTGAAATGGAATACTCCTATATAAGAGTATGTTTTCGCTTCGGTAGGCATAACATCGACAGTACTGATTCCAAACGGATTTAATCCATTTCGGCTTATAAGCTTTTTACAAAAACCCAGGATCATTAAAGATGAAATTTCTTTTCGTGGTTGCTCTTGTCGCCGTGGCCATTCAGTTGGCCTATTCTGCATCTGGCACAACAACAACTACAACGGCTGCTACGACTACAACAACGACAACCACTGCGGCATCAACCACCACAACAACCGCCTCTTCCACCCACAAGAAGCTCTGTTGGAGGGGCAACAACTGGTGCCACACCCGCATCCCCAAGAAGAAGTGCAAGCACCCGAAAAGGTGCCACAAGACCGTTGTGATCGTGACCCACAGGAAGAACTGAAAACCTTCGAAATGTTGTGAATTAAAAATAAAGACCAATCTCACGAAAATATTTTCTTTTATTTGTAATCTCATTCTTCATTTGTCCTGTTCTCTCCTCTTTTTATCAATTGGGATTTTGTTTGTATTTGCTCTTAAATTATAGTTCAGTTATAAGTAATTAAATTGGTATTATAAAAAACATGCGTTATCTACTACTACTTACTACCTCCTAAAGTGGTAAAAAAGTCGAAGAGGCCTTTAAATTATAAAATTCGAAAGATTTTTGTTGTTTGACTAAGGAAATACGTCTTATAAAATGTTGTTATCAATATTTCTGTGACACCACCAATTAAGCGCCGTTTTCTGGTCAGCATATTAAATTTAAAGCGGACTTTGAACTCTAAAATTAGCGTTTAACTAAACTAACCGTCTTAATAAACCGTCTTCGGTTGGTTGCCCGGATAAGAGCATTTTTCTGGACCGCTATTAAAATTTTAAGCGGTCTATAAACTTTTTAACATGTGTTTGAGAAGTCGGGACTTAATCTATGATCCAGTTTCGACGTATCGAATAAAAATATATTCCTATAATATAATAAATGTAACATATTTTTTTGGAAAATACGTTGTTTTGCATAAGTAGTTCTAAAAACGTATAAGTTTCCGCTCAATTTTAGCTTCTGGTCCCACAATAAATCAACAAAGATCCAAAATAAAAAATCAACCAACCTAGAAGAATGTATTTTTACAGCTGTTTTATCATGTCAGTGAACCAAAGTGTCTCTGTGTGGCTTGTAATTATTTGCTATCGTAATATTATAATAGTTCTAGTTCAGAATTCAGTACCTGGACAATATGGAAATCAGTTTCAAAATTATTATTTGGCAAATAACTATATTAGCACCAAATAAGGAACAAAGCTGAAGGGGAATTTAACTATAAAAGATGTGGATTTCAGTAAGTTTAATCACAACACTGTATACAACCACTTGAACAGGTTCCTGCTTCCTTTTACCAGTTTCATCACTAATATTCAAGGATTATTCAAGATGAAGTTCGCTTATCTTTTCGCCCTTATCGCCTTGGCCATCCAGTTGGCCACTTCAGCACCGGCTCCAACTGTCATAAAGACTAAAGTGATTTTGACCCGTCATCCTAACTGAGATCCTGGACGTTTCTTTATCTTTCAAATAAATATTTAACAAAATGAAAACCATTTGTTTTATTATTTCCTTCCAAATCAAATAAATCATATCCAAAATGTCAGAAAAATCGAGTTCAATTCAAAAATTAAAGACACTCAGAGAACACTTCATACATAACATACAAAAGGGATAGGAAACAAAGTAAGATCATTGACAATGGCGAACAGAGGACACTTCTACATGTTTTACTATTTTTTATATAGTTCACTTCTCCACAGGAAGAACTGAAAACCTTCGAAATTTACTAAATTAAAAACAAATACCAATTTCAAAAAAATTTTTTTTTTCATTTGCATTCTGTTTTTTGGAAATTTTTTCTGTTATCTTGTCTTTTAATTAATGGGGTTTTTATTTGTATTTGCTGTTAAATTAAAGTTCAGTTATAGGCATTGATTAACACAGTGGAATATGATAACTCATCGAAATTAGCTAAAATCCATTTGAGTTTCTCTGGCTTTGCTCGCGTTTACCTATTATAGTGAGTTAAAGTTGTAAATACCAATTTTATTTATAATGACCGCATCTTGTTAGCCGATTAAAATTTCACTTCCAAGTCTTTAACGATTATGTAGGTATAAGCCCGAGGAACAAACTGACAAAACATCTTTTCGAAGAAGTGCACATTGGGCGTTCAAAATCGAAAAATGAGCGAACAGTTTCGGTATTTTATCGTTAAACGGACATATTTCGCAAAATAAAAGCAAACAGCAGGTTTACCAAAAATGTTGAGTTTAAATTTAATTGCATTCAAATTATAGTTTCTAGTTAAATTTACTATGTTTTACTATAGTTTACTATGGTTTACTACTATGTATGTTACACAACCGATTAGGACCGTTTTCTCGTCCCAATATAAAATTTAAAGCGGGTTTATTACTCTGAATTTAACACTCATTTAAAAAAACGGTAAATATGTCAAACACGGTATTTTGTGGCCAGAAAATTATAATGCACATTAATATTTATTTTGGGAAATACCTTAAGTTCTACATATGAAGTTCCAAAAATGTAATGATATTCGTTTAATGTCTATATTCCAGTTCCACAACATAAGAAAAATATCAAAAGCATCCAATAAATAAACAAGAATTCAACAAAACCTTGAATAAATTATTTTTACAACTGTTTTATCATGTCAGTGTACCAAAGAATCTCTGTGTGGCTTGTAATTATTTGCCATCGCAATATTAATTCAAGTTTAGTATGTTCTACCTGTACAAGATGGAAATCAGTTTCAAAATTATTATTTGGCAAATAACAATATTGGCACGAAATAAGGAACAACGCTGAATGGGGACTATAAAAGATTTGGATTTCAGTCTGGTTAATCACAACACTGTACACAACCACTTAAACAGGTTCTCGCATCCTTTACCCGGTTTTATCAGTAATATTCAAGGATTATTCAAGATGAAGTTCGCTTATCTTTTCGCCCTTATCGCCTTGGCCATCCAGTTGGTCACTTCTTCACCTGATCCCACCGCCATAAAGACTAAAGTGATTTTGACCCGTCATCCCAACTGAGATTTAGGACGTTTATTTAACTTGCAAATAAATATCTAGCAAAATGAAGACCATTTGTTTTATTATTTCCTTTCAGTAGGGCCTGAATGTAAAGTTTTAAAAATATATTAAAAATGTCAGAAAAATCAAGTTCAATTGGAAAATTAAAGACACCCAGAGAACACTTCTACATAACATACAAAAGGGTTAGGAAACAAAGTAACACCGTTGGCAATGGCGAACAGAGGACACTATATCGAGAGGAATGGCACCAAACGGGCCGCTGGGTTGCCCTCCTTTGGTCCTGAAAGGTCGACTCCCAAGGATTGCCTGATCATCGCACATCCGGCGGAGGAAATAGGCAGTCGCATAGAAGCCAAGTGCAGGATGAATCGGCAACAGGCCATCGGAAAGTCTCAGCCATTCATTCCAGATTGCAACATCGGCGATGTTCTCAGCAGCGAAAGTCAAAAGTCACGCTTCGCCACCTTCAAGGAGAAGTTCCTCGAGGACATGTACTGTAAGTCCGGTAAGATAGCTCAAATAATGTCCACGCATTCCAAACCGGAGGACGTCACGAATTGGAGCCGAACCTTCGGACATGCTAACCCCCCAGCGGACACCCTATATAGCACCATATTGCCGGAAAAGTCGGCCGATCAGGTCAATCGGGAATACGGCGAGTTTCATCGAGGCCACATTGTCAGTAATAATCACTACTTTCCCTCGGAGCAGGTCAATCGTAGGTTGGTTGGATGTTACTTAAAATAAATATAAATTAAAATATAATTATTATTTTTTAGATATAAAAAACCATTTGATCGCTCCGGAACCTTTGGAGTTTTGATAGGCGCCGATTACAGCGGTGCGACGATGAAAAAGTGTTTGGTTCAGGGGGACGAGCACTTAACTGTGGTCTCCAAACCTTGGATGGACTACGTCAAACGGACAAAGGGTCCCTTGGGAAAGAAATACAAAAAGTGAGTAGAAAATATTCCATTCCAGCTTGAAATTGCAAATATGTACTTAAGCTTGCGTCAGAAAGTTAATTATTCGCAACCTTGACTTTGGTTAGTTGGTAATTGTTTGTTCAAGTGTTGGCAATTCAGGCCTAAGCTTTTTGCAAATTGCAAAAATATAATATAATAAAAAAAAGTAAAGTAAAGTTTAATATTATATTTTTAGATACCTAGATAAGGTGCCTGATCTGAACTTTGGTTATCGCCGTCGGACGGACAAATGTAGCATCAAAATGTTGCTGGAGGACATTAGGCCTTGTGAACAGGACGACACTCTGGTGAATGCTCTATCCTATTTGAACCGACTGCGCGAGAGTCTGCACAAACGAAATGACTTCTATATGATGGACCTGATCGCATTGCTGGAGAGGAGCGACAAGGATCACACGGGTCACATGCCGCTCTCCCAGATCCTCGAGACCATGCACAAGCTGCATATCCGGGTGGATGCGGAGAAGATCCGCACCATGCTATCGCACTTCCGGCAGATCCTCGACGAGGGCTGCCCCACCGAACGGGTGAACTACGATCTCTTTTGCCGACTGCTCTCCGTTCAGCAACCGCTGCCCAATGTCGGTTGTATTGCCACAGTGCCGGAAAATATTTACAACAAGGAAACAACATATGGCAGTCTATGTAACGATCGTTTGAAGAAGGCTCCCGAGGGAATAGTTGCCAACCAGCCCAACTGGGGTCCACACCAAAGGGACGATGTTAATACGCGTGTAAAGGATATCGTGGAACCGGAACTGGCCATAAAAATGAGGCCCAGCGACATGACCTGTCCAAGGAACAAGGAGCAAATGGAGAGGATATTCGAGAAAGTAGTCACCAAGCACGCCTTCGAAAACATTTGGCAGAGTCTAATGGCAGAGAACAAAAATCCGGATCAGGAAGAAATGGCCTCGGTAGCACAGTTTCGTGAGGAGATGCTAAAAATGTCCACTACTTGAGATATTAAAATTTCCTTACATTACTTTATCATAGAATTGTGAAATTACTAAGAAAAAACAACGAAAGTATAGCCGAATAAAGTATAATATACGATTCAAAAGCAACCAAAGTTTCAGCATTCTGAAATTTAAAAACCTCCAGATATCATACATAAACATCACATCCACTTTACCATATCGAAACAGTACAAATGGCAAACTTAGGACGTTACAAGGATAGAAACCCCGAAATGAGGGCTGCCGGATTGGCATCGTCCTTGGAAACTTATGGCACCAGGGATTTGCTATTGGTCGCTCATCCGGAGGAAGAGGCTGAGAACCGTATAAGGGCACTTTGTCGGCGGGACAGGCCCACTCCATTCAAGCGTACGCCCAAGATTCCCACCAATCAGATCGAGGACATTCTCAGCAGTCGCGACAAGGGACTCTTTGCCGAGTTTCAGAACAAGTTTCGCGAGAGTATGTTCTCCAGAAAGCCCGCTTTGGGTAAGGCCAAGGAAGTCCACTCGAAACCCGACTCGGTGACCAATTTGAGCCGCACCTTCGGTCGCACCTACGATCTTCAGCCCGAAGATTCGCTCTACTGCGTTGTCCTGCCGCCGAAATCGGCCGAGCAGGTTAATCGGGAGTATGCCGAATTCCACGACAAGCACATCGTCAGTCACAATCACTACTTCCCCGCGGAGCAGATCAATCGAAGGTGGTTCGAAAAATACCCTTAAAAACTGTACTCTAAATCCTTAAATTTTTTGATTAGATATTCGAAGCCTTTTAGCCGGTTCAACACATTCGGCATACCACTGCCAGTAGATCACACTGGTATAAGGGTTAAACGCTGCTTGCAGGAAGGCGAGGAGCACTTGATAATTGTTAAGAAGCCTCAGAAGGACTTAGACGATCGCACAAAAGGTCCTTTGGGCAAAAAGTTCACGTGAGTATGAAGGATGGGTTATATTATTATCATGTAAAATCGATATGGGCATGTAAATTTCAGGTCATGCAAAACCCATATCGTTATTACATGAAATACCCTTTTCGACCAGGTCAAATTTACCTGGCCACATATCAAATTAAAATTGATCTTAAATAATGTAAAATCGATCTACGTTTCATATCGTTTTTTTTTTTGGTGTACCAAAAATTTAACACATTTTAAAAAATATTTTGAAAAAATCCTTCCCCGTTGTAGATGGTATCCCTATCAGATCCCGGAGAACATGACCTTTGGTCGGACGATGCCTCGCGAAACCGATGTGCGATCGCTGCTGGAAAACACCGCACCCTGCACCGCCTCCGAAAAGTTGGCCCGGGCAATTAGCCACCTGAACATGCTGCGCAAGTTGCTCCAGGAGCGGGATGACTTCAATATGAACCAGGTTATCACTGCTCTGGCAAATAAGGATAAAGACGGAAAGGGACAACTTCCTTTAAACGAGATCATAAAAGTGATGCGTAGGTTGAATATTCCGGCAAGTGCCGAGAAAATTCGCATCGCTGCCTCCCATTTCAAGTTGTTTGTGGACGAGGGATGCTGTTCGGAACGAGTAAAGTACATGGATTTGTGCGAACTCCTCTCCATTCTGAAGCCGCTGCCCATGATTGGATCCATTTCACCCATGCCAAAGATGGTCTACAATCAGGATACCGCCTATCGACAGCTGTGCGCCGATTTGGCCAAGAAACCCGACGAAGGTCGAAACTATAACCATCCCCAAAAGACTCGCATTCAGAAAGATGCGGAAGACACACGCGTCAAGGACGTTCTGAACCCGGACTTATCGACCCTATGTGGCATATGGCCAAGTGATTTTAAGGTATTGCGTAGCAAGGACGAGGTAGAACGTATATTTAAGGACATTGTCTCGAAGGAACACTTTCAATCAATCTGGCTGAGTCTGATGGATGAGCAGAAGGATCAGAATGAAATGGCATCTGTTGCGCAATTCCGAGCTGAGATGAAAAGGATCGTAAAGAACTGACAAATTTTCAAAGGAAACATAAGGTTTTGATAATACTAAACATTGAAGGAAAGGTTTATACAAGTATATATATTTTTTCAAATCCAATAAATCAGGAACAAATAATATAATAACATTAGTAGAATTTTTGGTCGTATTATTTTATTTTTGCCATAAAGTAAACAAGGATAAAATTATAAAGCAAATATAAGATTTTAGGTTCGCGATGTTGGGGAATCGGATGAGGTTTTAAAGGAGCCTAACCGCTTCGCCTGCTTCGGGTCTTCCTGTCGTAGTTCCTGTTGTAGTTCCTGTTGTAGCTCTTGCTCCTGTTCCTCTTGTGATGGATTTTCCTGACCCTCTTGGGGCGGTGGGTCTTCCGCTTGTAGTGGATCACGTGCTTCTTCTTTTTGGAAGAGCTGGACGAGGTGGTCGTGCTCGTTGTGTCCGAGGAATCTGTCGTGGTGGTGGTGGTGTCCGAGGACGAGGCTGTGGTAGTGGTGGTTGTGGTGGTGGCGGCCTCTGTCGTGGTTGTGGAACTGGCCGCACTGGACAGGCTCACCAGGCAACATGCCACGGTGGCCAAAAGGATCAGGACACAGGTGAACTTCATACCGATGCTTGGTAAGTGAAGGCGATAAACTTATGCTGCTCTGGGATCTTGGCAGCACTATATATACCGTTTTGGATTAGTGCAGCCAGGCTAGTAATGCTCTAAGGTCTGTTATTTTTGGTACCAGCGTGAGAACCAAGTGCGTAATCTGAACCGCGAGTATAAAAGGGTCGAGTAAACAAAAAGTTGCGAAAAATTAAGTCCAAAGCAATTGTTTAAATATACATATATTATTCCGGTTTTTTCTGGCGGTTTACGTTGCTTTTAATAATACGCTGTCTACGCTTATTAAAACAAATATGTTGACTGTAAGGAGACAATAAGTATATTTTGAGAAATTGTTTTCTATCATGTTTATTTGTTCTGCACTAATATTTGTGGTTATTTTGTTGAGACAGACAGAAATGTAAAACAAACTTGTGGTTTTCCTTTAAATTAATTTTTAATTAATTATTAATTTATACAAGTATTAACTTGTTTGACATAAGTCACCATTTCTATGACATCCCAAAAAACTCCAAAGTAGGAAATATCCTTAAACAACTCTCATTAAAAGGATGCCCTTGACATAAGTATCAAGAATGTTAGGAACCCTATGTTATATTTGAAGACATCGTCTCAAAAGAGGACTTTCTTTCAATCCGGCTAAGTCTGGTGAATGCTCAGAACGATAAGAATTGAAATGGTATCTGTTGTACACTTTTAGGCTGAGATAAAATCGTTTGGCGATAACTCAGTTTAGATTAAAAGTCTAACAACATTTACTTACATTAATTTCCTAGTTTAACTATTCCTAGATTTCTCAATAAGTCTAATAGGATTTTCTTATTTACTATCATTTTACAAACATTTCATAAACATATCAGGGGTGCCATCGTAACCGACGACGGATTCATGGACGGTTGGGTTGTAAACCAACCCTTCAAAACTGTAGGTGCCACAGAATTTGTACAGTTTTCTTGGATTTTAGGAACTTTTGATTCTAAACCTATTATTTGGTTTGATTTAAAATTTAAAGTTTAAATCGGGTTGGAAACGGTTTCTGTGACACCGAGATTTGCTTTTGGGAAGAAATTTGGGTTGATGAACATACTCTAGATGTTTAACATTTAGAGCATTTATTGAAGTGTACTTTTATTAAAGGAAAGAAAAATACTCTAAAATGTTTTTTATGCAATGCCTGAACTAAGCGAGAATGTAAACGTTTGTCTACTCAATATCCCTATTTATTTTCACAAGTCTTAAATAGGAATTTTATTATTTAATCCTTCAATCCTTTTTGGTTAACACCCCGAACCAAAGGAAAGCCAAAATGATATGGGTATATAAATAAAATTGCTTAATTTTTTGTTGTATTATTTTGTTTATGCCATAAAGTACGTAAATCAGGAGAAATTATAAAGCAAGTATAAGAGTTTAGGATCGGGAATCAGGAAGTTGGGGAATTGGGAAGGGAAATCGATCAGGTCGTCTGTGTTCTCAAGGAATTTAAATCCTGCGGTCTCGGTTCCTTGCGCTCCTTCTGCGACGGATGATTTCCCTTCTGGCGGGCCTCCTCCTCGATCTTCTCCACTTACGCCTTGTGAGCGTCTTTTTGGCGGATGAAGCCGTGGTTGTGGTGGTGGCGTCTGTGGCGGTGGTGGTGTCCGAGGACGAGGCCGAGGCTGCTGTGGTGGTAGTGGTGGTTGTGGTGGTGGCTGCCTCTGTCGTGGTTGTGGAACTGGCCGCACTGGACTGGCGGACCAGGAAGCATGCCACGGTGGCCAAAAGGAGCAAGGCACAGATGAACTTCATACCGATGCTTGGTGAGTGAATGCGATCAACTGATGCCTTTCTGGAGTTTTGGCAGCACTATTTATACCACCTTCGGTGGGTGCAACAATGGTATTAGCAAACATTTGATCTGGTTTTGAAAAGTCTGGTCTTTTCTGTATCAGCGTGAGAACTTGACGCCCAACGTGATATAAACCGCTAGAATAATAGGGTCGAGTAAACAAAAATTTGCGAAAAATTAAGTCAAAAGCAATTGTTTAAATATTCGCAAATTTTTCCGCTGGTGGCGTTGTTTGCGCCTTTAGAAACAAATATGGTGGCTGTAAGGAGACAATGAGTATTTGTTATTCGCCATTTTGTTATATACCTATTCATGTTATTTGTTCCTATTTGTACTCTACATTTTGTAGCCATTAAATTGGCTGATCAATGTATTAAATTCTATGTGTTATATTAAAAAAAAAGCTAATTTGCACTGCTGTTATAATAGTGCATAGTTATATATAGCTTTAGTTTATTAATATTTTTTTTTAAATTAGTTAATTTGGGAAATACAAGTTTATTTTAATTACTAAAAAAAATTGTACGAACTCCACCCGAAGAGTTTTCTTCGGAATAAAATTCCATACAAATAAATATCACACATTTATTTGTTCCGAAATTCGTGCAAGCTGCCAAATGTAATTGGAACTTTTAACAATATACTTTTCTTTCCATACTCCTCTTACACGAATGTATATAAACAGTTTGCAATTTCAAGCCACAAACAATTGTTGAAAACTTAAAGAATCATTTAATACAAAGATACGCGACCAATGGAGTGGTTTTCAAGACTCCTGATGATCTTTCAAATTGCCTGCCTGACCATCAACTTAGTATACGGCATGCACAATCCAATGATGAGAATCAGTGAGCGACTTTAATCAGGGCACTTATTATTATATAATTCAATACTTTCTCCTTATATTAGAATGCGATTTGGGAGAGATTTTAACTTGCAAGTTTTCATTTCTTCATAAGTGTTGGATGTTCGAATGCGTTTGTCTTCCGGATCACATCTATCTAGGACTCGGAAATGGTTGCCTGTATATCGAATTCGCCTAAAAAGGAAACCTAATTATATATCTATTATAAAAATATTCAAATTTAAAGCCATTAATTTAGTTTCGATAAATAATAGACGAAATGTTTTTACAACATGAAATATTTCTGCTACGAGTAATTTAATTGTCTAAATTACTTCAACGTAACCCAAAAAACATTCGAAAATATGTTAGGAACAATTTAAATATACATATTCTTAAATGATTAATAAAAGTATATAAATATCCTCTTTTTTCGAGTAATAAATCCTTGAGACGTTTCAATTTTAAGCAATTGTTTGACTTTAGAAGAAGAGTAAGTTACAGTCGATGACAATATTTCTGTTGGTTAAACAGAAACTGGTTAGGAACGGAAATAAAACGCATAAGACTTCAGCTTACATGCTAATCACAAACTACTTTATTTGCACTTAAGGTCGCGGGATGGAGGACTACTTGGCCTTGTCTAGAAAGTCTTTGGCCTCGTTGATCTTGGCCGCCAAGTAGGGTGAACCGCCTCGATCCGGATGGTTCAACAGCATGATCTTCTTGTGGGCGTCCTTGATCTATAAGATGGTACAGGAATAAGTAAAGCGGGAGTATATAGAATACAATACAAATTTTAAAATTAGTTAAATAAATATAACAAAAAATTCAAGAAAATGTAATCTTTTTCATCGTTTCTGAGTCTTTGATTTTTTAAGTATCTTTTTTAAACCATGGAGGTTTATTTATAAACCTTACGGATCATATTACTACTAATGAGATCTAACAAAAGCCTTGATATCTACAAAAACCCAGCGATCTTTACAATTCCACCAATCGTTAGTGCTATACCTTGATCTTTGGCGCACTGGGACTGACACCCAGGATGAGGGAGGCCTCCCGCTTGTTCATCTTTGGATCGAAACCGCCCTTGTAGTACTTGGATGCCGCCATGCTCTCCGCATCGAACTTGGGCAGGTTCTTGAGGGCCTCGTTGAATTTGGTGGTCATCTGGGGCATCCGGCGCATGAGGTGCTTCCCGGCGAATCCCACCGCGGCCACTCCAAGTCCCGCCAGAATTACGGAGCTTGCCTTCGGAACGGAATCATTTGGATTGGGAGCCATCGCACAGTCAATTTGAGAATATAAAAGGAAAGAAATTCGGAATAATTTACGTTGTTTGACGACTAAAACAAGGTGATTTAACTATTACCATTTTTATGTAATTTTAACAGCTGTAAAATGGAACTGCACGGCCTGCTGTCAGCTGTTGGGTAATCGAAAGTTATAGAGTTGTCACTCTACGGGAAAGAGTTATCGATAGTGGCGCAATTTTTCAGGAATAATTTTTCTGATTAGAATTTAGGAAATGTTATTTGGATTTTCTTTAATTATAAATATTTTCTTTACTTTTCTTATTACTGTAACTGTTCTGCATGGGCACAGTTCAAAAAAATCGTAGAGGGTCAGGTTTGTTTCAAGTAGGGAAACAAATGTATTCCAATAAATTAGTTTTTAAAAAGATTGACCGAAAAGGTAATTACTAGCCAACAGCTGGGAACGGCAAATCAAGAGGTAAACCAAAACAGGTATTTCCGGAATTTCAAACATTTGGAAAACCCTCCCCAACCAAACTCCGCGCAGCTGCTATCGAAACTGTGCGCAGACGTCGCCTATCGATTGCTATCGGCATCGATAACGGGACTCAACAAAGTGCACAAACAAGGCAAGAAGAAGAAGCAGAAAACCAAATTTGATGTGCAAAGTTTCAAAAACCAAATCCCCATTATTGATTGACGAAAGTAAAAGTGTCGAATCGGTGATCTCCACATCCTGGTGGCGTGGTGGTGTGCGTGCCGTGTCCGTGAGCGTACCGCTAACCGTGAGCGTGTGTGCGACTGTGTGTGTGCGTCGGTCGGTGAGAGTGTGTGCGTGAGCTCCTCAGCTGGGGAAAAACTTTTGGAAAATTAGCAGGCAGCAGGAAAAACAGCCGTCAAACTGGAGCGAATTCCGGAATATCTACGCGACACGGTCGACTGGCTGATGGGGTAAGTTTTGTAATACCACCGAGTAATAGAACCCATTCCCGATCCCCACTGCTATTCCCCCCCGAAAAAAAACATATAGGGTATAGCTTGAGCTTCTTGGCCAGGCCACTTGGTGGGTCTCTTGCGTCGCTTTGTCTTCGGTGTCCTCTGCTTTTTTTCGTCTGCTGCTCTTTTTCGTCGCCATTTGGCCTCTTGCCAATTGGCCTCGTTTCGCATTTTCGCCGACAGAGAAATTTCTTTTTTCGTCGCACTTCCCACAGGAGTAGACCCCCGAATACCCTACACAAGAGCCCTTAACGGTTCCTATTCACTTTAATGATTTGCTAAGAAAAATTTGATATTAAAGACAATATAAAATCTTAAAAATTGGATAGCTGCAGAAAAGGTACTCCTTACATAAACCCCTTTTTTAAGTAGTTCCATTTAATCCATTACTTGAAACCTTTTTTTAGACACACTCCTCACTCCATGAATAAGTTCCATTTCTTTGTTGTGATTGCGGCTTATGAAAATCAATGGGCATTTTTATCGATTTCTCAAATGTGGTTACCAAGTCGCAAGTGTTTTGATTTACTTGCCCACCGGACTCCATAAGAAATCCATAATGCGATTCTCTGTGTCTGTGTGTGTGTGGGGTTTGGGTTTTTGCTTGTGTGCGATTTGATCGTCCTCCTCTTCTTCTTCCCACGAATCGGAGTCGCAAGGCCATCGCTGCACTTTGATTGCATTGCACTGCGTTTATGTATTTTTGTGCTCGTCTTCGCCTCCTCTTCTCCTCTTTAATTTTTTCTTCTTTTGTTTATGCCTCCAAGCAGGGTCGGAATTCTAAAGATAAGAGCAGGTTTAATGAACTTGCCAATTTCATTACCACAATGGAGTCGATTTAGTACTAGAATATGGAAATCACTAAACACTATTCCTGACTGGTTCCTTAAAAACGAATTTAATATTTTTACATCCACTACCAGGATTACACATGGCAACAGACCCTTAAAATTTATTGTGTTTTTGGCTTACCAATTCAAGGCATACCTGCTATTGTTAAGATTTAATTTTGGAGGTAGGATTTCACATAAAATAAGGGATATATAAAATACAAATGACATATTTTAGGGAAAAACGATGCACAGATACAAAAAAGGGTTGAGAAACTGGAAGACTTATGGCGTACCTGTGAAAGATGGTGGATGAAAATGTCCATTTTTGTTTTTTGGGGTTTTTGGACGTTTTACCCTTAAGTATTACGTGAAAGAATGTGCTTTAACCAGATAGGGTTTCTAACTTATGAAGTTTTCTTTTAATTCTAAACACTGTTCTTTTTATAAATATCTTTCGAAAAACAAAAAATACGATATCTAATTAAACCTACAAAATATTAAAACACTCTTCTGTTTCAAAGAAATAGTGTTTTTTTTTTCGTACATTTTTTTGGCATTTTAAAATATGTAAAATATGGTTTATGTTAGGTTGTTTGTAAAATTGGTTTTATTTAGTTTTAATTCCAATGATTATGATGATTCCTTAATCATATTCGGGTTTGAAAGTTAAGAAAGCATCTGCTTTGGACATTAAACCCCTATGGATCGACCCCATCTTAAGGGTTGTAAATTCTTGACTTCTGCACGTAATCTCTTCGAAAACTACACAAATTAAAGGGATCCAGTTCGTGAAGAAACCCAATTAAGCACAATTTGGCGATTAAACAGGAAAATCGAGCGGTGGCAAATTGCGGAAATCGAGTTGATTAGAAACAGACATATCGAGGCTGGAGGGCATAATGAAAGCTTCCCTGGTCGACTGGATAAATTAAGTCCGCACATTCCCAGTGACAATTTGATGCTTACGTGTGTCGTTTTTTTTTCTGCCTGCAAAGCCAGATGCTAAAGTCGTTAGTAGAAGCTATATACCAGGGTACCCAGTATACCAAATAGGATGGCACATTCATACATATATGCTCGCAAACAGGGGCCAATCTTTTGTGGACTGTCACAGCATCCAAATAGGCAAAGAACACACAAAAAACAAACGATGTGAGAGCAACAAAGAACAAACAAATTGTGTCACATGTCACACCCCATACACCAAAAAAAAGGGGAAAAGTACACATCAGTTGATGGCTCTGCCAGCGGAGGACAACATCATACGAGTACGGAGATATCTGCAAGGGTTTCTTTTTTTTCTTTCTTTTTTTTTTTGGGTGGACTGGGCTGGACGTCATCGCCCTCCAATGGAGCGGGGTTTCATTAGAGCAGGCATAACAATTAAAAATGTGGCAAGAGAAAAGCAATCGATTTTCTCCCAGCGAGGAGGGCTTTTTACATTCACTGGGAAAAATAGAAGGCTAAAGGTATTTGGTAAGTTTTGGATTGGGATTAACATATTTTGTAACTTTTATTATAAAAATAGATTCTAGTCCTTAAGCTAGGGGGATTATTTACATTGTTTTTACATCTAAATTGTGGTGATATGAATTATTTTATATATTTTTATACAGGTTTATTGCCTTGGTAAATTCTGTATATCTCTTCACTTTGGGATTTTTGGGAAAAATTGGTTGGAGGCCATTTGTAATTGTCTCATAACTAGAATATAAATAAATAAAAAAATTCTAAAAATAAATGTATAAATAAATTTTTTTTTATTTCTAAAATTCATTTAATATTTTTAAATTTCATATAAATATTTAGCTTTCTTTAATATTAATACTAACCAAATTTTTATTTCAACTTTATTTAAATACTTTCTTTTCGGAATTGAAATTTTTGCACAGGTGTGTTCATAAAGGTAATTCCGCGAAAAAGTACACTGGTAAAAAAAACGCATAGTAAAATCAAATATTTTTTTAGTTGATTTCATTTACTACTTTTCATAGTTAAATCAAATAAATAAATCATTGATTTTAATAAAAAGCATATTTAAACCTTCATTCAAATATAAAAATAATAAAATCGAAGGGAATTATATTTGAAATGATATTACTGATGTTGAAAACCAAAGTCGCAATAGTAGTTTTTAGTATTGTAAATAGTAAGATATATACATAGTATAATCAATGTTTTTTCTGATCCGATTAAATACTTTCGCAATTTATTTTAAATAAAAAGTTTATTTGACACAATTATTTTGAAAGTCAAGATTCAAATAATATTAAATTAAATTTCCATAAAATGTATGAGTGAAAAGTAGCATTTTTAGTTTTAAAAAGTTATGTATATGTGTTATGGATCGTGTTAACTTTACATTTAAGTTGAACTTATCCACTCGCGCGTAACATGGTGCGATGGATCAATGGGTAAGGCATCTACCTCTGACGCGAGAGGACCCCGGTTCGAAACCGTCTGAGGCAGAGTAAGTAAAAAGTTTTTAAGAAGCGTATTTAACATTTCCTTAACATTTATAAGAACAATATTGTATTAAAAAAGTTGTAAGAATTACTAATCACAAAAAAAAAAAAAAATAAGTTGTGGTGTCAGCGGGACTTGAACCTGGTACCCCCGAGCACAAAATAGTATCAGAACCTAGCCCTTGACCCCTGAGCCATGCCCATATTATTTCCTAACGAGGCAGAATGCTCTTTTAAGTTCACAGTAATATTTTTGATTGTAATGACAATAAATAACTGCATTTAAAAATTACAGTAAATACTTTAGGCGCTCACTCGAAAAAAAAACAAATTTGTAAATTATTATTACAAGATTCTGGATAAAAAAATAGTCAAATCAAATACAAAAATCTTTGAATTTACTATAAAAATATTTAAAACATTATTAACTATGCGCCATATACGATTTTACTATTTTCATGTTAGGATCTATTTCGCTGGGAAAAATAATTGAAACAATGGTAAAATAGTGACATTTACCATTTTTTTTTTACCAGTGTACCCATAAATTTATACTATACCTCATTGGCGACCCTCGCTGTTCCATCGACGGCGTGTGCATTCCGACAGCCTTGAAGCGCACTTAGTACAACTCTAATTGAATTAGCCGGCAAACGGGTGCAAGTGCAGGAAAAAGGAAAATTACAAATAAACTGCAACAAAAATGTGTAAGACAAATGCACTGGGGAAAGGCATAAATAGCGAGAGAG